CTAATTTTTAAAAGTAATCAAGCTGAAGTGTACTACAGTAAACTATCTTAAAAAGTCTCTCTATACAGAGCGACATTTTGTAAGTACGTTTGAAAAAATGGATCCATAATTGAGAGGTACGTGAAAGGGCGCCCGTCGTACTTGTTATTCAACTTTGGAGGCACTTTTTTTATTTGAAAATGGAAAAAAATCGAATCATATAGAATAACTTTATAAGAGAGGTTATTGTATGCAACTCCTAATGGATTATATACAGGGATTGAGCTTCAAATTTTAAAACCATTTACTCACGAAATCGGAATGACACATTGAAAAAAACCATACCCCAGTAAGGTAGGTTTATTACCATTGCCTCGTTTAAAAACGCTTATTTTTGTTTCACTAAATATGTGATCATTTCCCGTGATCTTTCCCCAGCACAGAGCGAGAAAAAAGCAATGGAGGAGAACTTATTGGAATGAGGTCAGGTCACAAGACCTGAGACAAGGCCTGATCTGGTGTTCTCCACCTTCTTAATTATTACAGTCGACACTACCGCTGTTATGAAGTCAGGTCGCCAGTCAACGGGAGTTGAACAACATATGATTATAACTGTTACTCCAGTAGGGATTGTGGTGACATTTATTCAACAAGTATTTTGTTGGTAGTTATTATTAATGACCCTCCGTCCGGGAAGTCTTCTCTTTTGTCTTCCTGAGAGTTTTCCTGGGATGTCTTCCTGAGGTGTCTTCCTGGGTCGTCCTCCTGGGTCGTCGTCCTGGGTCATAGTCCTGGGTCGTCCTCCTGGGTCATAGTCCTGGGTCGTCCTCCTGGGTCGTCGTCCTGGGTCATAGTCCTGGGTCGTCATCCTGGGTCATAGTCCTGGGTCGTCTACCTGGGTCGTCATCCTGGGTCGTCCTCCTGGGTCGTCGTCCTAGGCAATTGTCTAATTGACAGCTACAATCCATCACGGTCTTGTCTCTGAATGTGGAATTATATGCAAGATGGTAGGGACGTGGGTGGGTGGGTGTAGGTGTGGGAGTGGGTGGGTGGGTGTGAGTGTGGGCGGAGGGTGGATGTGGGTGTAATATGGCCATAGGTTGCTGATCTAGTTAATATATCCTGCTTTTGAAGCAGCTGATGTTAAACCCATCCTGCTATATTGCATCTTGGTCATGTGTCCTATTTTAACCCCAGGTGAAGTCATGTTTACACGCTGGTGTTCAAGGAGTAACGCAACGGAAATCACAATCAAAAGGTCATGTGTTCGAATCCAGGGTGAGACGAATATACGTTAATTAAACTTGTTCCGAGTCTAGATTGTACATACTCGTACATAACCCTGTTTCTAGCAAATATATTTACCCGATAACCATAATATAATTTAGGAAGCAAACTTGTCTGCAGTTATGTAAACTATAACAATGTATTGGCTGTAAGTTTGTTGTGTGTGTCCCATAATGAGTTGCATCTGGCTAATTAGGACGGACGAGTGAGCATATCTCAGCTAAATTATGTAAGCTCAGGGTAGTTTGGGAGAGGATGGAGGAAGAAGTATTAGAATCCCTAGTTTACTGTTATGTTATGTGGGAACCATGAAGGGGTATCGTGAGAGATAGAGCGAGAGAGAGAGAGAGAGAGAGAGAGAGAGAGAGAGAGAGAGAGAGAGAGAGATGAAGATGATGAATGAAAATTCTTGCGAGGATGCAATGCACAATAATAATAATAATAATAATAATAATAATAATAATAATAATAATAATAATAATAACTAGGAATATTCCTTCACAGAATTCACAATCACTCTCACGCTAAACCATAATAAATTCTGTGCAACAACAACAATGAAAAAAATACTAAAGCTCTTAGTCAAGAGGCAAAGAAAAATAAAAGTGAAAACAGAGAGTAGTGAGCTAAAAGAAAACAGAAATGCAGGAAATGTGGAACACTGCATTTGTTGGATGTCGAGCAGTCTCTGGTGTGTTTATCACAACACAGTATCCAGAACGAGCTTTTGTCGGGACGATGTTTCGCCTTTTACATGTTTGGACCGTGTGTGAACTACATCTGAATGCAGGTTCTCAAAAACCTTTGAGCTCTGGTCACATTATGTAGATCAGGTTCACACCACAACAGTCACAACACCTTCACAGGCCACATATGTGAGTGTCAGACACATGTACAACATCTGGGGATGTTTATTATGTAGACGTTTCGCCAATCAGTGGCTTTAACAATACAACACAAGGACAACAGGTGATAAAGGTACCCACTTGTTGAACACCTGTCTAATTCATCAGTTTGTCGGTATTAATATACAATATATCCGTGAGTGATAAATTCGGCCTTTAGGCCTAAGCTTGCTCATTAACTGTCTGGCAGTAAATACTCTTCATTTTGTACGTGTTTTGCCATGTATATATTACAACTCATTTAACATTAGCCCCCTTTACCTGTCAACCGCGTAGTATTTATTTTCTTCACTATCCACACACACACACACACACACACAAACACACACACACAATACACACAAAACACAATACACACAACACACTACAACACACACACACACACACACACACACAATACACACACACACACACACACACACACACACAACACACACAATACACACACACACACACACACACACACACACACACAATACACACACAAACACACACACATAACACACACACACACACACACATACACACATACACACACACACACACACACACACACACACACACACACACACACACACACACACAGGAGGCAGGAACCATACATAGTTTTAAGACGAGGTATGATAAAACTCATGGAGCAGGGAGAAGGAGGACCTAGTAGCGGTCAGTGAAGAGGCGGAGCCAGGAGCTGAGTCTCGACCCGTGCAACCACAATTAGGTGAGTACACACAGGTAGAGGTAGTGGAGGCAGGTACCATACATAGCTTTAAGAAGAGATACGATAAAGCTCATGGAACAGGGAGAGACTGGACTTAAAAGCGACCAGTGAAGAGGCAGGGCCAGGAGCTATGAATCGACCCCTGCAACCACAATTAGGCGAGTAGAATTACGTGAGTACACTATCCTCACTATTCTCTTTGCCACAATGTATATTGTATTCTCCGAGATATTGGACCAACCTTCCAGTCTCTCCTGATTGTATATTCAACTAGCTTTTATTAAAGTTTCTCTTTCTCGTTTATTTTTTTTGTAAATTTCTGTTGTTTCTTGAGATTTCTGGGTAAAAACAAGATCCACTCTTTCTTGCGTTTTTTTGCATATCATTTTTGTTCCACTGTAGGTCCCTGAGGACTTCTCATAGTATCCCATATTTACCTATATTTCCCTATTTTTTATTCTGTTTCTGTATATTTTATTCTCATACTTTGACTTGGGTTATGCCGAGTGCAGTGGTCGTTTGCACTCAGAAGCTGGTGCTGCCACTCAGTGTCGCAAGCTGAATATTACAACGTCTGTACTCACCTAGTTGAGGTTGCAGGGGTCGAGTAATAGCTCCTGGCCCCGCCTCTTCACTGGTCGCTACTAGGTCACTCTCTTGAACCGTGAGCTTTATCATACCTCTGCCTAAAGCTATGTATGGATCCTGCCTCCACTACATCGCTCCCCAAACTGTTCCACTTCCTGACTACTCTGTGGCTGAAGAAATACTTCCTAACATCCCTGTGATTCATTTGTGTCTTCAACTTCCAACTGTGTCCCCTTGTTGCTGTGTCCCATCTCTAGAACATCCTGTCTTTGTCCACCTTGTCAATTCCTCTCAGTATTTTGTATGTCGTTATCATGTCACCCTATCTCTCCTGTCCTCCAATATCGTCAGGTCGATTTCCCTTAACCTCTCCTCGTAGGACATACCTCTTAGTTCTGGGACTAGTCTTGTTGCAAACCTTTGCAAACCTTTACTTTATCAAACAGTGACTTGATAAAGCTCTACATAGAGTGAAGCGTGTATTCATTTAATATATATTGTAAAGCTTCTCCCAAGAAGCTTTATTATAAGCTTCATAAAAGTAGATTTAATTAAGTTACAAACTTTCCATCTTCTCTGATATCAAAAGGGTGGAATTTCTCTTTAGTTTCGTTATCCTTCAGATGTTATAATTTGAAATTGGGTGAGACAAATTAAGTAAGAATTTGTGTTGTGTGTTCTCTGGAGAGACACAGTGAGATCCACACCAGCTGTGTGTTGAGGCTAAGAGTATGAACCAGCTGTGTGATGAGTCTAAGAGCATGAACCAGCTGTGTGATGAGTCTAAGAGCATGAACCAGCTGTGTGAATCCCAGAGGTGGTGGTTAATTAATATGTCAAGATACCAGACCTTGTTGTTGTCGCTGCCGCCATAACAGCTACCACCACTACCACCACCATTAACAGTACTACTACCACTACCACCACTACTACCATCACTACCACCAATACTACCACTACTACCACTACTACCATCACTACCACCACCAATAAATCCTTTCCTTGTTACACTAAAAGTATAGCGTTATCTTTTTCTCTTAATTTTTTTACTTCTAGATACATCTCTCTCTCTCTCTCTCTCTCTCTCTCTCTCTCTCTCTTTCTTTCTCTCTTTCTTTTCTACTTTACGAGTCATGCAAAACAAACATGACAAACTGTTTTATTGTCAATGTGTGTGTGTGTGTGTGTGCGCGTGTGTGTGTGTGTGTGTGTGTGTGTGTGTGTGTGTGTGTGTGTGTGTGTGTTGTGTGTGTGTGTGTGTGTTTGATGTTTGTCAATGGGAAACACACAAGGATGACAACCGAACCTTCTCATTGGTTGAACACTGAATAGAACGCAAAACACACACACACACACACACACACACACACACACACACACACACACACACACACACACACACGTGGTCTTTATTAAAAAGGTTCAACAGGCGGAATGAATATCAGGTAGAGTGTTCACTGGAAGACTCAACAAAGTACTCACGTCTAAAACTCACCGTAGACTCACTCTGACGTAAGACTCACCGTAGTACTCAGTCATGTCGACAGGCATTGTCTGGACGAGTCTCTTGCACTTGCGAAGTTCCCTGGAGATGAGCTGAGTGCAGGCGACCAGGTGCACGAAGTTCTGGTTGTCTACTGGGATGCCCTCAGCCACGTCACTGTGGAGACACAAGCAGTGTTACTGCAGGTCAGCCTACTGCAGGATTTATGTTAAAGTGCAGGTCAGCCTACTGCAGGATGTATATCGAAGTGCAGGTCAACGTACTGTAAGATACAGATGTGAGTGTTACTACAGGTCAGCCTACTGCAGGATACATCTCTGAGTATTATTCCAGGTCAACCTACTGCAGGATACAGATATAAGTATTACCGCAGGTCAGCCTACTTCAGGCTACATCTAGCATACAGACAGGTTAAAACCTAGGATGAAACCTGGCTGGGGTAGGCCAGAGGATGCTTAACCACCTGACCGGTTATCCTCTGTCCAAGACCTGTGTCAGATGACACTTGTACTCTTTCCTGAAGAAGGAAATCCTGTTACTACCTACTACTGCAGTGCTTCTGTTATGTGTGCAGATTATGCTACGATTTATTCAGCGTTCATCATAGACACTGGCATAACCTCTCGATCAGCGAATTGGCAGTTCAGAATACATCAGTTCTGGGGCCCCCACTGCTGTGTTAACTGTTTAGTTGAAGCCACCATTACGGTGAGATCTGGCGCCTCCCTGCCAAGGTGATGTCTCACCTGCCTGTCTGACTGCAGGTGAGACACTCGTTTACTCTGGCTGAATCTACTGCTTTGAGTGGTTCTCTGCTCTGGTTTACTGCCAGCTTAATAACTAAACAGTGTAGATATTGTTCATATTGGTGAAGGAATATAAGAGCAAAGATGAACAGCCACTTTTGTATTTGTCATGACTTTTGTCTTGCCCGGGTGATCACTGACTTTTGTTACGGCCAAGCGCACCAGATCTTGAATTTTACCTGTGTCCGTAATAGCTCCTCTCTTCTTACGTCCTTCTGTGTGTCTTGTTTGGGCTGATATATTGTGTATTCCCTCTTCATACTTGTTTTAGTGTGGGTGGTAGTTAACACTCAGTCATTCTGTGGGTGGGAATCACCACGTACTCATTCTGTGGGTGTTAGTCACCATATACCCAAGATAATGAAGCAGGATTAAGTGAGAATATGGGGTGATAATATTGGTTGAGGTAAGGTAGTAATGCACTTCAGTGTGGATAATGCAGAGTGGTGGAGGCTCGATTTCTCTTTCATGTGGGTGGGATGGAGTTGGAATTGTGCTGGATAGGGGAAGTGTGGGTGCGTGAGGTGTGTGGGGCGTGAGGTGTGTGGGGCGTGTGGAGTGAGTGGAGCGTGTGGGGTGAGTGGAGCGAGTGGGGTGAGTGAAGCGAGTGGGGTGAGTGTGGGGTGTGGGGGAGACAGGGTTGACAGATGCATAACAAAAGCCAAGTCTCACGTCTCGCAAGAAACAAAAGAGGTGTCATCCTGAAGAGGTGAAGACCACCTACTGAGGCACCTAACACCTCACCTGCTGCTCTCACACTCACCTAATGACTTCTCTTAAATATTAAACAAACATTTTAACAGTGAGAATAGAGCTAAGGAATATTTCATAAAACCTGAACACCAAATATTTAGCAACTAGTTCACTTAACTAACTCAAAATCCGTTAGTGTAAATATCAAAGCAACCGATTTACACTGGATACAATTACATTTAGACAGTGTATAGGATTGAACTAGTTTGGCAATAGAGTTGTAGATGAGTGGAACAAGCTGACAAGTAGTGCCACTGCAAATGCATCCTTTAATCGGTTTCAAATATAGGATGGACAGGTACATGAGTAGGTGTGGGTGGGGGATGAGAAGAACCTACCTAGCACGTGCCAGTAGCGCTGCGCTGATGGTGTGCACAACCCACAACACTGATGGTGTGCACAACCCACAACACTGATGGTGTGCACAACCCACAACACTGATGGTGTGCACAACACACAACACTGATGGTGTGCACAACCCACAACACTGATGGTGTGCACAACCCACAACACTGATGGTGTGCACAACCCACAACACTGATGGTGTGCACAACCCACAACACTGATGGTGTGCACAACCCCAACACTGATGGTGTGCACAACCCACAACACTGATGGTGTGCACAACTCACAACACTGATGGTGTGCACAACCCACAACACTGATGGTGTGCACAACCCACAACACTGATGGTGTGCACAACCCACAACACTGATGGTGTGCACAACCCAGGAAACAGACACATGCACAGTACAAGGATATCTTTATCTGAAGATGTTTCGCCAACCAGTAGCTAGCCAAAACGTTTCCTATGAACGTGTTTGCTAAGACTTTGTCCTCTTTTCTGTGACATTGCAAGCTCCTGATGTGTTGATTGCAACACGAAAGGCCTGGAGCTATCATTCAGCTCCCCGTGGTTGTTCTGCATATATATATATATATATATATATATATATATATATATATATAATATATATATAAAATATTATATATATATATATATATATATATATTATTCAGTGTTACTACAATATTGCAAGTGCTCACTCCCACGTGACATAATTTAAAAATTGAAATCTCTGCTATAAACATGTAAATCTTTTGAGCTGATTGGTTGTTTCCGTCTGGAGAAACCCAGAGGGTAGCATATGTTCGGGTCAACATTATGCCAACCCCCACGGCGACGTTAAGGCTCAATCTTCCCCTCCACTTCCTCGCCAATCCTGACTTATTGTCAGGATTCTTGAAGCCCATCTTCGTCCTAGGAGGCTGGGGGAGAAGAACGGTAATGATGCTGGTTACCCAGACACTGACACAACTCACATCTTCCTCATGGGTCTCATCTGGAGGTTTCAGTGGCTGGTTTTCGACCTTGAGAACACTGGCCAGATAGCACCTTCTAGCCCCGGTGCTCAGAACCGCTAATTAATCTGACATTTGGAGAGGCGCAGGTGAGGGCAGGTAGACAGCAGCGCAAGATGCCCATCTCCGATTGCCTTTTCTCTCTCCATTTCCACTGGACTCTATCTTTTGCAGATTAAAGGTAATTTGGACCTGCTGTTAGGCCTCTCGCGCCTATTTTTGTAATTCACGTCCTGATATAGGCCTTAGATACCGAGACATAGGCCTATCACCACACTGAGAATAAGACCTCAACATTTATTCCAAGGCAGTTAAGATACAAGTTACAGAACGAACTTTTATTGGAACAACGTTTTGCCCCTTGCACAGCTTTGTCATGTTTCGCTTTAGTAGAGCTTTATCAAGTGATGTTTATTTCTGTGTAGAGCTTATGTGCAACGTTTCGCTCTGTGTAGAGCTTCACAAAGTCATAACAAATCTCTACACAGAGTGAAACGAAGTCCCAATAAAAACTTGTACTGAAGACTATGTAATTTCTTGACTAATGTCTGCAACATAAGTGCCTCCATTCACTCCTCATTGTAGAATTGATGCAAATCTGCTCAGTATTCCATCTGCATCAGTCAGTCTTCATTAACGTCTTGACTACATTGAGACTGTCAGCTGCAGCAGAGAATCAGCGAGTTCAGATCACCAGGATGACGTGGACGTTATTACTGAGAAATGATTATTCCTGTGATCTCCCTTGTAAATTTTAACATGTTTATATGGGGGCGGGAAGTACAGTGCCTGCACTCTAAAAGGAGGGGTATTTGCTGTTTTGAGTGAAGGTCTAAACTGTCGTAACTGAGCACCGCTGGCAAGGCAGTGATAATGTGAATGATAAACATTAAAATGGTATAAAATACCGACAGGTTGTTAGGTAAGACACATATGCAACAGTTAGGTATCTTTATTTCGAAACGTTTCGCCTACACAGTAGGCTTCTTCAGTCGAGTACAGAAAAGTTGATAGAAGCAGAAGATACTTGAAGACGATGTAATCAGTCCATCACCCTTAAAGTTTTGAGGTGGTCTTCTCCAGACTGAGGGACTGACCACCTCAAAACTTTAAGGGTGATGGACTGATTACATCGTCTTCAAGTATCTTCTGCTTCTATCAACTTTTCTGTACTCGACTGAAGAAGCCTACTGTGTAGGCGAAACGTTTCGAAATAAAGATACCTAACTGTTGCATATGTGTTTTACCTAACAATGTGAATGATGGTAGAAAGTGCTTCTTTTTCGGGTCAACCTGCCTCGGTGGGAGACAGCTCGCGTGATAAAAACAATGTGTATATGGTTGGTTAATGGGTGTTTAAAGTCTATCGATTACACATGTCACCTGGTCACCAAAATAGGGATTAAAGTGAGGTCTAGGTGAATGTAAACACTCGGACCTTCATCCCTCACAGCCACACACTCATCCACCATCGTTTACACGCCTCCTGCCCTTGTTTCCATCTCTGTTTTTCATTTCCCTCCCATCCATTTTCATTCCAACGCTATGGTCTCTTTAATTGTCCAAAACATGCTTTATTACCGTCTTCCTGAAGGGTTAGAATTGCACATCACAGATACGCAATCTTTATGTGCCACTACGCAATCCGAAAGGCTGGGCTGTTTATCTTGGCTCTCATTCTTGACTTTTATATTTAGTGATAGACACAGGCGTCTCTCTCTCTCTCTCTCTCTCTCTCTTTCAAATCTATTAACAATCTGAGGGAGTGGAGGGTGGGGAGAGAGCCTTTTGCCTTACTATCCTTGTCTCACGAAATCGTAATAACACAAGTGCACACGAACCACGGAACGGGTGGTGTTTGAACCGATGGCAAGTGGAGTTTTACGACTCACTCGCCATAGCTTGAAATCCCACCCGTTCCGTGGTTTGCGTACTATCCTTGTCTCAGCTAAATGATAGTAGTAGTGAGACGTCCAAACAGAAAATAGCAGAAAGTCCTCCATCCAAAGAACAGTAGTCTCTCTCTGCAGAATAGTCTCGGTGAGGATTGAGAAGTCCTGTACTGTCTGCCTTTCCACGTGTACTACTATATACTCTCGTGTACTCTCACGTACTCTCACGTACTCTCACGTACTCTCACGTAACTGTCCTTCACGTACTGTGAGAGAATCATCGATAAGACCCAGACACTGAACGTTGTTCAGTGTCTATCCCAAGAGCCAGATTTGACTTTCA